ATCATCACGTGCGTTCAGATGGAGCAGCATTTACTACACATAGTTAGTTCACTGACAAGTTACGCAAAAAAAATCGCAGACGATTTTATTGCGCGATTCTGAAATCGAAGAAATCGTTCGCGATAATGACAGCTGTTTGCATAGCTTCTCAGTGAACTACGGCTCTGTGAAGTAAATGCTGCTCCATCTGAAAGCATGTGAAAATACCACATTTAATAACATATTTTTACTCCAAACTCACTTCATAACGTCAGTCAAGTGTTTGAAATAAATCCTTCTGTGAGATGATGTGGCTTCTTACACAGAATAAGGCACGCAACATATTTCATAGGATTTAAGCAGTGATAAAAGCATTGCATTATAAATATACTTTATTTTAATGAAAATTTTAATAATAAGAACTCAGATAAACCGTATATTGCCGTAGTCGTGTGTTTATTAGTCACGTTGAATCAATGAAAGCAGTTGAATGTTCTGTTTATTCAGCTGCAGCGATAGGCATTTTCTGGGTTTCTTCTGCGAGGCGTATTTGGAGTTTCAGCGCGAGAGCGCCCTCTGGCCTTTGGATGGAGATTTACTGCTGATCACAGAACCGTGCTTCACTGAAAGATACGCATGACAATCGCAGCTTTTGTCGAATCGCGATCTCGATTCCATTTCGATTTATCGTGCAGCCCTAATTGAGATCCATATTTAGATTTATTAAAGTTCATCACTGAGAAGATTTGATTACAGATTTAGTCGCAGCAAACAGCACAAATGTCTGTGCAAGGGAACCCAGGCATTTTCATCAGAGTAGATTATCTCAGAAGAGATCGCTGAACTTTTTTAATATAAAGTTTCATAAAGATTTAATAGGTCATTTAATAGGTCTGTGTGAATTTCACAAACAATTACAAATAAATAGCTAATAGGTATATTAAAGTAAACATGAAATTTTGAGTATTTTTTTTTAAGTATTTTAAAGTATTTTCTTTCTCTTTTTTTTATAGTGTGTATTTGTTTAGTCGTCGTCTGACTGGAAAGACCTTACAACCAGTTTGTCAGATTAATATTGATCAAAAAAATTTATATTGATATAGGCTAATTTATACAGGAAACATGAAGCAATGACTAAAAAACAAGCCAGTTCAAAAGGAACTGCAAAACACTATTGACCCATCCATCCATCTCCAGTGCTGATTTTTGGACAACAGTGCTAAACATAACATACATGCATTACTGGAACTTTTTTGTTGTTGTTGTTGTTGTTGTTGTTGTTCTTCAGTTTAAAAGGAAACCCAGACGGATTGAATGGTGTGCTTCTGGAGTGTGACAGCACTGTACAGGACTCCATTATGCAGCTTCTGAAAGTTTACAAGATACGTCGTAAAGTGAACTTCAGCTTGTGTCCCAGTCTCTCACTATGGGCTCTGTTACCTCAAAATAAAACTGCAGTGTTGGGGAAGTCAAAGCCGGATGTTACTGCAGCAGATAAAGTATTAGTACTGGAACAAGACCCAAGAACTGAACTCATGGGCTGGAGAATGATCACTAGCTGTCGGAATAACCCACATGAGGTCGTCTCCGTTTGTCAAGAGAGCAACACTGAAGAATACCACAGACATCGCTATGAAATTGGTATTAAATTATTCCTATAATTACTTATAAACAAACCTACAAGCTTAAAGGGGTCATATGATGTTGCTAAAAAGAACATTATTTTATGTATTTGGTGTAATGAAATGTTTATGCGGTTTAAGGCACAAAAAACACATTATTTTCAAGACCAAACAAAGTAGTTTCGCTTTCAGAACGAAACACAGCGTCATACACGGCGGGCCTAGAGTGAGCGGAGGCCGGGGGCTAGAGTTAGCGGCGACCAGCTAGAGTGAGCGGAGGCCGGCTTGAGTGAGCGGCGGCCGGTGGGCTTGAGAACGGCTCGAATAGGGGAGACCGACAAGACAACAATTACAGCTTCGCGTTCAGACAGTTTCATTTCGCTCCCATCGAGTTAAAAACACAAATAAATGCACAGACATTTGCACTCTGCATCGAAAAAATTTATATGAACGCCCTGCCCTGTTGCACTTCTGAGAACTTTTAAGGCTTATTCTGCTGTGTTTATACAAGCCTTTTGACCGGTTGTGTCACAGAGCTGTAAAAACGGTTATGCTCACCAAGTGAATGAATCGCGTTTGTGCCGAACTCTTATTACAAAGCAAAAACAAACACTCTTCTTCGATCCATGAACGTTTCTCTCAGTTAATGTGCGTGATGTCATCTCACAGTCTGAAACGTATAGCAAATCAACACATGCTGTTGTGAATAATTAAGCGAAGTGTCTTCTCATAGGATAAGAACACGCAGTCTCATTAATAATTTAATAGACACCGACGCGTCATCGATGTACTATAGTCCATTGCCACGTCACAAATTGTGTGTAGATTTTAAACCCAGAAGATGAAAATAGCACAAAAAAGCTTAAAATGAACCACTTTTCTCCAACAGTTAAAATTATCGGATGCTAACATTGTCTTCTATGATGTGCAACACAAAGACCTCTGCTAAAGTCTCAGAAAAAGTAGTCTGGAGTTTCATGACCCTTTAAGCAATAGCCATAATCAAAGTGTATGTGGATATTTTTTGGTAATATTAATAGTATTTTGTCCTTTTAAATGCTTAAAATGTAAAAGTACTAAAATAGTATTGAAGAGTCAGCACATCCTTTGTGATATCTCATCATTTCTTATAATCAATCCTGTACTTTATTTAAATTCTCTAGGACTACCTGAAGGAGTCAAAGATCTTCCGCCAGGTGAGGCCCTTCCACTGGAGTCTAATCTTGTCTACATGCAGGGAATTAGCTTCAGCAAGGGATGCTACATCGGACAGGAACTGACTGCCAGAACTCACCACACTGGTGTGATAAGGAAGCGTGTAATGCCTGTTACCATGTCTGCTCCGGCTGAGACCCTGGACCAAGGTGCCGCTCTTGAGACTGAGGGGGGCAAACCAGCAGGGAAACACAGGGCAGGAATCGACAAGCTGGGACTGAGCCTCGTACGCTTGGCTCATGCCAGAGAGCCACTAAAACTTAAATCCTCTGACGGCGTGACAGTGTCTTTACAGGCTACTGTACCTGACTGGTGGCCAAAAAACAGTAAAGATAAATGAATTGGCAACACTAGAAAGCTCAAAGGCCCACCTGAATGCTGTAATTGTAATGCAGATCATATTTATTTAGCTAACTTCAAAATTGAAAACTATAACTTTTACACAGAAGTCTGTTGATAATGTATTAGTTGACACCTTGAAATAAAATGTTTAAAAAATGTTTCATTGTTGTTAATCTTATAATGCAAATCACTTCTTCATGGATATACTAAACTGTTTTTATTTAAAAAGCTGTTTAAAGTACTAAAGTACCTTGGTTTTGTTTAAAATAGATGGGTTCCAAATTTCCCGTGGTACACATCAATTATATTAAATTTGCTTAAAGCAAACCAAGAAGGGTGAGACATTAGCGTTACATTAGTTAATTATGAGCTCTGTCATATTTCACACTTTAATATTATTGAAATACACTACTGAAATTTAAAACATGAATAAGAAACCATCTACTGAAAAGTTGTTTTATCATCTTTGATGTTGACACACTACTTCCAGTGCTACAACTTTAATAGAGAAGTCCAAGTTTATGTGCTCATAATAAACTAATGTTTGTCATCAGTGTTGAGGGGTAATGCATTACAAGTAATGTGAGTTACGTAATCAGATGATCAGATCAGATTTTATACAATAGTTCGAACAGCCTCTCTGATCTCCTGAAGCAGTTCCTCAGGTTTGAAGCTCAGAGCTGAAGGGTCTAGTCTCTTAAAGTCTTCATTGCTAAGCATGCTCTCAAATATATGCAATACTCTCTGAAGGTCAAAGGCCGCATGCTGAGGGCCTAAAGCAAACAGACTTTTGGCAAGGAGGTTTTGGCAATTATCTGCATTTCTGGGACATGAATTCAAAAAGGACATTCGATTACTTGCAACAGTCTTAAGGAAAGAGGCAAACTCCCCATAATCGATTCCTGTACATGATTTCATGATCACCTGAAATAGAATATAAATAAATATATATGTCACAGGAATATAAAAGTTATGTTTACAGGGTTATGATTTTTCTGTAGTAGTACTACAGCACATTGCGAGTGTTTATTAACACAATTTGTCGGTGCATTAGTTGGACCCGGAAACGGTGATGCTTGATGTAAAAAATAAAGCCAAAAATAGAGTTACCTGACAATGCTGATGCCAGGTATCCATAGTATCACGCCATTCCTCAATTTCTCTCTGGACAGAAGAAAGTTCTTCTTGCAGAAACTGCCACATGATATCCAAATTACAGCCATTCAGCCAGTTATGATTGATAGAAATGGCGTCCTCCTATTATTAAGAGATGCATTACCGAAAGTGAGTTAGCAAGTTGGTGAAGGAAGGTTTTTCTCATAGGGAACTCATGGGAACTACGGGCTGGAGAAATTGTCCTAGTTTTCTCCAATACCAAAAGAGCTTGATACTACAGACTTTCATAAAAATGTCAGAAAGTGAACGTCTAGTGGAGGGGTGTCCAGTCCTGCTCCAGGATGGCCACTATCCTGCAGAGTTTAGCTCCAATCTTAATCAAACACACTTAAACGAGCTAATTAAGGTCTTCAGGATTGCTACTGGATTGCTTTTGCGTCAATCTATCTCAAGTGGTTCATTTTTGGTTGCCAAAATTAGGTTTTCCTAATTTTTTGTGATAACTTCTGTGTTTGTATTGCAAAACCATCTGTTTTTATTTAAATTTGTACCTTTTTAACTGCTGATGTTTAACCATCTTTGTGTCATGGCCCACAACAATTTTTTGGATAGACTCAGCATTTAAGGAAACCTCAATATTTCAGCTCAGATCCTAGCTCCTTGAAGCAAAATCTGATCTCTAGTGCACATTACATGGCACATGGGGGACCAACCAGACAGGAACTTGAAATTTTCAAAGATAGAAGAACTGTAAAAATGACAAGTTTGAGATTCTGCTGTGGTTACAGAACTAGGGATAGTGAAAATCTGTGGAAAAACTGGGGAATAAAATTGTATGTATGTGTTTTGAGAAATTAACATGTAATGTAACCACTCAAAATAATACTGTATAAATGAACCGTATTTTACAGTAACTATGTTTATGACTGACATAGAATAACTTGTAAATGAGATCTAAAACAGTGCTTCTGGATATTTCTTAACCCTCCTGTTGTGTTGGGGTCAATTTGACACCCACTCAATTTTCAAACTGCTCAAAATACTAGTTAAACAATTTATTTCTTCTTGACATTTTTCATTTTTGGTCACAAATGTACATGCAAATTTTCGACTCATTGATGTGTTTTGAAAATGCAAGACAACCTATGAAATTTAAGACTTGAGGTTTACTTGAAATTGAAACGCATCTTCTGAATCGTCCAAGGAAAATTCACTGTTTCTTTATCTAGTTGAGTTACACAGCCCAAAAGAATCTGTTTTTGGTTACTAGTTTTTTGGATCTTAATTGCTATTGCAGCACTGAAAAGAAGTGTGAGAAACTAATTTTACCCTTACCAGCGTTTCAGAAAAAAACAACATAAAAAGGCAGAGGAAGTATAAATAGCAATAATACTACTTACATTAAGTACAAATAATATTAGATACTATTTGAATTTACTTGTAGTTATTTGCACCCAAGTGTGTATGTGCAGCTAATTTTGAACATAAACATGTAGGTTAAATTGATCCCTAACACAATAGAAATAACACAATAAAAACAGAAAGAAATTATTACATTGCTCACATATTTGATAGTTTTTTTTCTCTCTAACAAGCTAGAATAGAGGTTGTCTGTAGAAAACTTCCAAGCATGTTTGTTTGGGCAGATTGGAGCAAAACTCTGCAGGGCATTGGTCCTCCAGAAGCAGGATCGGACACCCCTGATTTAGTACATCATATGTAGACACCATTAGACCATTACTGCTTACCAAATTGTAAACTTGATGATGCCAACCACTAGGTACAAAGATTATCTCCCCAGCTTCTTGAATGATCTCTAAAGGCTGACAGGCCTCTTCAAACTGTGGATAAAGACCCTTGTCTTGAAGTACGGGTGCTGTTACATCATAGGCTAAGTTGCCATGACAGTCCCGCAGGAACTCCTCTTGGCCTGGAGGGTACAGGAGCCATTTCTTATGTCCACAGATGTTGGCAGACCAACTGTAAGAGCGAAACATGTCTGCATGGAAAGGTGTCCTTGAGGCAAGGACAAAAATGTTGACTGCATAGTATTTAATATGGACAACCTTAAACGAGACATATTTCTGTGCTCAAATTATATTAATATATTACATTGGGGTTCAAAAGTCTGAGCCCACTTGTGAGAATGCTTCTATAATGTTCTAGTTTAATATAACACTTTTTTACAAATGTATTTAAAAAACATGCAAACAATAATTTCTTAGCATTTGGAATGTCCTCTTTTACTTTAATGACAGCACATTATTCAGCATTATTTAAGAATCCTCGAAAGAGCAATCCGGTGTTTTCCAAATGAAATTTTGCGCAAATGACATAATGTCTAATAATACATATTTCTTCATGTTCCTTTGTTGTACATTTTTTCAAAATTCAAAGACTTAAATGTGGATACAGACTTTTACACCCAACTGTACTGTAAATGACAAATGATTGACACGGTACCATGACCCCGTAGGACCCATGTAGACAAACCGATAATCATCCACTTCAATTGTGTCCCAGTATTCATTCAGCCAATCAGAGAAGAAGTAAATTGGGGTCTTGTAAGTATTATGTTTAGGAAAGTTCCTAAAATGAACATAAACACATTTGACATTATGTAGAGTATAAAATCGTTGTATACATCGATTCTTCCTTTATTTTACTACAACGTTTCCAAGCTAATCTTAGGCATCACATTCAAAGCTATTGTACAATAACCCATGCTATACACTCTAAAAAATGATGGGTTGTTTAAACCCAACTTTGGGTCAAATATGGACTAACCCAACTTTTGGGTTAAAAATGTAATGTAAAAAATTAACTCAACGGTTGGGTTAGTCCATATTTGACCCAAAGTTGGGTTTAAACAACCCATCATTTTTTAGAGTGGCTTTTGAAGAGCTGTACCTTTGCATATGCCAGTCCTTTACGTAAAGACATCCTTTGGGTGCAGAATGCCCATTCTGAATGTACTCTCTCCAGTACTGCATAAACTCCTTGAAAGGCATGATCTGCTTCGGGTTGGAGTTGTATTCTTTTGCACTGCAGTTTGCAACAGCCTTCTCATATGCATAGTAAAATGAGGCTATTTATGTATATAACATATTGAGTATACATTTAGATTTAGTTTTTTTTTTTATTGCTATTCATCAATACCCAACAAAATGATCTTACAATTTCTACTTTAGTTAATTTTTAATCCAGCAATGCAAGATACATGCTTATAAGGGACATTATAAATGGAGGAGCTGAAAGGAACATGTTACAGTTCTGTAATGTGCAGTTATCACATTTATTTCTTCAATCTAGATTTTAGAGCTGGAGCAGGACTGATAATTTCTAACTTATAATGCATGACACATTGATGCAAGTATAATGAAATATAATTCTTTGCTCACCAAATTCATGCAGAAGTCTTTGGAAGTTAGGTTTTCCATCAGCCGTGACCCAGTTTTTTCTGCAATTCCAGTCTTCTGTGAATTTTTTGGAAAACATGCAGGGTTGATTCGGGATTAAGTATTTCTTGAATAATTTGGGGTAGGGTATTTCTCTCTCTATGTACTCAATGAAATGAGAGGAGCAGTGCTGAGAGGGGCATTTTGACCAAACTGCAGCAGTTATGAAAGGTTTCCCTATCCATGGCATGTCAGAATGGAGCACAGGCTTGTTTATTATTCACTAACATGAAGTTTCCGCACGTTATTCCATGCTTGATATGTCAAAATATTAAAAACAAAACCTTAATTAAAACTTAATATTGTTGACTTAATAGTAACATATAGTCAACAGCTACAACACATTTTAACAGCCTCATTATTCTCTTATGATGACAGGTTTGCGTAGTTATTTTAAGGCTGTAGCAGCGCAACTAATGTATCGACGGTTCAACGTCACGCTTACGTGTTATTCAAATATCGATATGAGGCGATTATCTTTTTTATATGTCTATAAATCGAAAATAATAGTGTTTTTTGCACCGGGTTTGGAACATGTCTACGTAACCCAGTTGCCCACCGGAAAAGAAACGTGTGCACACCAGCTCAATGATTTGCTCATCTTCGTGCGGAAAGAATGAGCTGTCTAACACAATAAAGCAAGTTAATTAAATCTCAATAAATCGCCTGTAAATAAATAAAAGTCGGTGTCCTTAACTAGACATATATAATGTGCCACCGCCACATTAGCGGAACCTTTAATAAGTTATTTGTGCACATCGGAGTATAAACATGAGCGCACTAAAACAATCACCGCAGCGTTCAGTCTTTGGTTCAGCTTTGTTTACATCGCGGCGGGGAAACAGTGATGTTTTTACTTTCTTATGTATTAAACTTTAACGGGAAACACTGAGGTGGAAGAGTAAACGTCTCGCAACTGACTACGATGCGAAATTATTATTTTAATGCGTGAAATCCGTCACACCCTGCTGTAGGTGTCACTTGAAAGTCAAAATCATCCTAAAAGAAAGGTATGACATTAAATGATCTCCGTGGTGTTTGTTTTGCGTATGTCATCTAATGCCATCCACACCAGCATCTATTATTACTGCGCATACAGAACCACGTGAAAAATAAATGTAAAAGGCCTTTAAATAATGTTTTAAATCAGAAATTGGATTAATCAACCATAGTTTGTGATTCCAGAAGATTCATGAACTGCATGCTCTTCAATAAAAACGAAAAAGAGCATGTGTGTGTGTGTGTGTGTGTGTGTGTGTGTGTGTGTGTGTGTGTGTGTGTGTGTTTATATTTATTATAATAATATATAAATCAACATAATCTTAAATCCATTGGCTCCCTTAGAATTTTTCTGTGCCTTCTGTTTTTGTGTTCCTCTTAAGAAAGACAATTGTCCAGGTTTGTAGCAACTTGAGGTTGAGAAAAAAAATAAGTATACTGTTGATGTAAATAAAAGTCTCTGATGACTGCTTGCTAATTTTCTGTTTACACCACTCACTTGGCAGGTGGGCTCCCTAAGTCAGGGTAGCTGTGCCAAATCATCACAAAAAGATGAGCCAGGAGGCATCCATCCATAGCTGGCCCGGCTCTTATTACATCAACAGTGAGAAACGCTGGGTCAGCGGCATTCTCTCCTTATCCCGCACCACCCTACGCTTCGACTCTGAGCAGAATCAGGAGAATCTGATTGGCCTGAGGCTCTCACGCATCATGGAGATCAAGATGGAGACCTCTGGCTTCATTTTTAGTGCTCTTACTGTGTTGGAGCAGGGAAACATCAAGCACTGGTTTGGGTCTCTCAAGCCTTGTCGTACTGCCGTTTACCACGTGCTAGAGCACTTCTGGAGGGAACGGCTGCTGTCACCTACAGAGCCCCGTGGAGCTGAGGCTCCTCTCAGTAAGGGCCAGGAGCTGATCAGCCTGATATCTGGAGCCCAGCGGAGGCTGGAGGATACTGGAAAAGTCCTGGACCACCAGGGAGAGCAGTTTGACAACATGATTCAGGGCCTGGACAATATCGAATCAGACCTGAGCGTGGCAGATAAGTAGGTTTTGCTCAGATTCAGAAACTGTGATGCATAACTTGTACTAGAGACGTGAATGTCTTAGCATATTGTGCTTTTAATAACTCCTTTTAATGTCAAGCATGTCCTACTCGATACGTTCTAATTCATCCACGTTTCATTGTCGCTCTGATGTGTTTTTCTTCAAAAAGTCCTGCCAGCTGAAAGCTGTGCAGATTTTTTTACATATGGACATAAACAGGAATGGTTTGTCATTGCTTATTATGAAGGAAAATAGCAAATGTCCAATGGAAAACAGGTCCAATAATCTCAGAGCTTCTCGATACTATGGCCTTTCATAATTTAGTCATTTCAAAGTTTAGTTTGTTGCATTATTAATTTGTAATCAATCAAGTGTCTGCTAAATTAATACATGTAAATTATATTCATTGGGAAGTCGAGAACACCCACTGTCACCATACACCATTGATTTACTTAATTATGCCATTTTTTTTCTCTTTTGTGCAGACTACTATCTGAACTTGAGTGTCCGTCTTGGTGGCCTTTTGGCAAACTGCCATGGAAGAGCCACCAGGAGGCCAAGTCTGAGGCAGCTGCCAAAGCGGCCTGTACGAAAGGTTCAGGCAAAGGCCAAAAAGTCATAACCAGCATTCCTGCTATTCTCTCCCATGTTGGAAGCTCTGGAAACCTGAAACCAGGTAGCCTGATAGTGTTGGTCTCCTCTCTCGAGGTACGAGATGCAAACGGACAGCTTCTCCATTGCTTTGAGAAGGAAGAGGTGGATGATGTCTATGTGCACAGCCCCTACGAGATCAGTGTTCGGCAGCGCTTCATCGGAAAACCTGACATCTGTTTTCGAATTCTCTCTGCCAGGATGACTGAAGCTTTATCTGTACTGGAGATGCAGTATAAGAAGAAAGTTGTGATCACGCGTGACTATGCAGCATTTCAGGCAACTTCGGCAACCACACCAGGAAGCCCAGAAGGTGGAGGAAACATTTGGAGTGCAGGTACACTTGTTTTGACAGTCTTGTTTCATTTTTAGAACTTCAATGCCAGCCTTTATTTTAATCGAAACAAAAGTAAATTATATAACACGGTGACAGGACATAACTTGAGACACTTAAAATAATAGTCCTATGTCAGGCACCGCAAAATGTATACTTTTATTAGTCAAGCATACATTGATCAAACTGGTCAAATATTACAGTTAATTAAAATTTTAATTTTAATCAATTTATTCTTCAAACTTTCGAATAGTGATCCTCCAGACTCACTCCCAAAACTTTGCACTATGTACTTAGCAGCATGAAAAACAATTATGAATGGGTTATGAATGGAAAGAGAGCAAAGTATCATTGCTGTGCTGCAGAATTTCAGTGTCTTCAATATGTTACAAATTAAGTCTAAAGTCTCAGTCGTTTAATCCCCAGTAAATGCCTGTAAATGTCAATCCCAATTTATCTTTTTCACTATCTACATAGATGTTAACATAACCAACAATTAAGACTTTAACTGCAGCCAGCACTAACTCAGATAGAAAATCAGAAAATTCTGTGTGGTGTACGTGGTGCCCCGGTGGCCTGTTTACAGTCAGAGGCCTGTACAAATGTCAAAAGGTATTTATTGTTTATACTAGATAACATTATATAAAACACCATCACTTCAAATACATTGTACTTGAAACCAGACTTCTGAGTAATACTGAAAATTTTACTGTGAATTAGGGCCGTCAATCGATAAAATGTTTTAATCTAATTAATTACACTTTGTGGTGATTAATTAATCTAATTAATCACATATTGATCACACATCAAATCTGGCTAAGAAATTACCTACAAAAGATAATTTAAAGACATTATTGTTTTACATGAGAAAAGCATGAAATAGACATCACAAAAAGTAGCTTTAGAGAGTAGCTTTTTTATTTTATTTTTTATTTTTATTTTCGGCTGAACTTTCCCTTTAATTAGTTTTTTTATTAATATGGACTTTTTTCTGATTTGTATTAATATGCAAATATGAAATTAGTTTTAAAGGGGTCATATGATGCGATTTCAAGTTTTCCTTTCTCTTTGGAGTGTTACAAGTGTTACAAGCATAGATAAGATCCCTGAAGTTGCAAAGACTAAAGTCTCAAAACCAAAGAGATATTCTTTATCAAAGGCATATAGGACCTACAATAATGTACAGTATTTGAAAAATAATGTTTTTTGAACATTAAAGCATGTCAACATATTCTGTTACACCAAATACACAAAATAATGATCTTTAAAAAAGCATCATATGACCCCTTTAATGAAACGATACTTTAAACAAGAAACTAAAACCACCAGTAGGTGGCAGTAAATGTCTTAATGTCTTAATAATTAATTAATTCAAATGTGGATTCATTCAGAAATTGTGTGTTGCTTGGAGATGCACAACAGTTCTGCTGTTGCTTTAACAGGTAACATTTGCGTTGGCAAAACTGAGCAAAAACAGACAATATTGTGTCTAAAATATAACATTATGTGCTTATTTAGTGAACTGTTGTATAAAATCAATATCACAATATTAGCACACGTGCTATTTGGGACAAAAATAGCACTTGTGTGATATTGCACTCATTGCTCTTGTGATATTGCTTAACTATATATATCATATAATATAAATATAAGACAAAAACTCATGTAGGGGCTTTTATGCACCAATCTCTTGAATTTTAGGGGCATGTAACTGCATTCTATAGGCTGCATCACGCAGTGAGTTGTTGCCTTACATCATGTTCATCGCCAATCAACTGTACAGGTGTGTTCGACTAGAGCGTATCGACTGCGCAGACCGATCAGCTCGGCATGCTTTCGAATCACTCTTGTGGTACTTTGATGCCACATACCGATCGATCTGTGCAGTGCCGCTTCAAATCGAACACAAACATTTTTAACATGATATTTCTTTCCATAACTGATTAATTAGATGAGGTAATGT